CCCGCCCCCCATTTCAACCACACTATGGAGACTTCTGACACCATTCTTTGAAGTATCATTTGAACTAATCTGTCGTCCAGTAAAAAATGCGAGCAAACACTTCGCTATGTGATAAGCAAAAAAGAGACACCGCAAGTTAACCATGAACTTTTCTTGTGCAACAACCATAAAAAGAAACCAGCAGCTGCACCATTGGCCTAGGCACAATATTTTTCTACCCTGGAAACGTACGTTGTTTGACTTTGTAAGAAAACCAGCGCATCATTCTAATAAATGTTCACCCTTTAAATCTCAAAAGAGAACAAGCATATGAACTTAATTTTTTTAGAGTTTTAGTTTTAATCTTCAGGTGTGTCAGGTCTGGAGAGGACATTGCCTATCATGGTACCCACTCCTTCCTGTTGTCTGTCTTCCTGATCAGCTCAGTTTTTCTCATTGTGTTATTTGCTGCTTACTACCCTTTAAACCATCTGTAAATAAGTATGTATCTACATCCCTGGAATTCTGACATATCACTGGTTATTACAGATGGATTTCTCTCCTTGAAAACCTGCCATTCTTAATTTTCAAATGCAGGTCTCTTACCAAGACCTGGTGATCTTTCATATTCGTAAACCATGTCATTAAAAAATAAGCCTTCATACCATAAATAATGGAGAAAACATGTACATATAAAAGGATGAGCAAAGATAACACAAATATTACCCTACCCAAGGGAAGGGTTTTGCTCCTAAAACACATGAGTGATGGGATTGGTAAAAACTGGCCCAGCAAATTGATGATAAACATAAAAAGTGGGAGACAGTGCATCTTATTGTTTGACATCTCCTTTGTGTGAAAACAAAATCGTCTACATCATTACGAGAAGTCACAGTATCAATCATTTACCGCACAGTTCCACAAAAATATGTTTTTCACAATACATGGCAAATACTATACAAACATTGTGACTATGAGTCCATACTTTTGAAAAAAAAAAAAAAAAAAAAAAAAATTCATTCCTGACCAATGCAGTATTTGCAACACAAAGCTTTAATTCGTGCAATATTCCACTCTCAGAGCTTGTGTCATTCCATAAATCCATGACTTCATACATTATTTGAATGAGAGAGAGACATGCATACAAACACTGTTTGGGGCATAAGTGCCAGGAGAATGTAAGAAGATGAAAAAACAAAAGCGATACAGAAGGAAAAAGCAGCCACAGCCTCCCATCTCTCACTATACTTGATCAGGTATGAAAGCGCCCAAAATCATTGGATTGATGCAATCTCATTTTTTAAGTTTTAGTAAGGTTTTACGGCTCTCTCAACTGCATAAAGTCATATGAGTGCCAAGGGGTGGATGTCAACAGAGAACAGGGAATCAGGCTTACTCTGCTCACCTCTCTAGCCTCAACAGCACAAACTCTGCTTCCACTATCAAGGCACCCCGGAAATAGCAGTTCACAAGAGAGGGACAAACATAAAAAAGAAGAGGAGGAAAAATGAGACGATAGTAAGGATGAGGAAAGAAAAAGCAGCAGTTCCCCCTGTGTTGTTCCAGCACAGTATGACACGAGTATGACAATGATAAATCAGCCCATTTAAAATTCTACTGTGCATTAGAACATGTTAATATCCCCCCTTTGGGAATGGCCTAAAGACACTTCAGTCAGTAGTACTGCCGGGGGGGAGGGGGCATGCAATCTCAACAACTGAGAGTTGAAATGAGCATTCTCAGTGCCACAGAGTTTGGGAGCTAACAATGGATAAGAATTCCTTACCACATCTCCAGCAAACATCTCATTTATATATGTCAATATCTTGCCAAAAAATCCGGCTTTGGGCAACTATATGTAGTTCCCATTAGTAAAAAGGTAAAGAGCTTCGACCACCCCTCTCCACATTTCCCTTCTAAACACACAAACAAATGGCAATTAGAAAAAGCGCCCCCCCCCCCCCCCCATGACACCTTTTAAAAAGTAGTGCACAGTAGAAAGGGCAAAACAGATCTCATGAGCAGGACAAACATTGAAATGGCTGTTGAATCGCAGTGAATTATTATGAGGGCTAAAAAAAAAAAGGAACACTCCAAAAAACCCAAAAAAAGTGACAGATATATATAGTAGACAAGTATGTATGGTGAGCTAGTTAGGCCACATGAGATCCCACTACACCTTATTTTTTGGACAGGTGATATAAAGGCTTTGGAGTCAATCTTCTTCTTTTCTTCTTTTTTTCTTCAGGAAAACGAAACTACAACTACAATAGATATGTCAAGCTCAAGGCAATGTGCCACACCAAAAGATGGTACACATAGTGGGAATAAAATGGAAAAAAAAGATAGGTGTCCTTCTTTTCCTTCTCAAACTGGCCTTATTAACGCTTTGCAGTCACTTGGCGCAATAATGTGACGGTGAAAATTATCCGTTCCAGTCACCTGGCGCAGAACTGCGTCATGCTCGAGATGTCCATTGCAGTCACTCTCCTGGCTGGGCGACCAGATGGGGTATTTTGTACTACTGGCTGTGTGACTGCAAAGTGTCATGACATGTTACTAAATCTCTCTTAGGTTCGATACAAATAAAGGCATATTATATGTCTTTTGAATCAAGACAAGTGATAAGAATTCTAATAGGAATGCATGTACGTATATCTGGGAAAGCAAACACTGTCACTTTCATAAATAAACATTTGATAATCTTTCCTTCCAATCCGCCTGAAAAGAGAGCTTTGACAAATACCCCCCATCTTCCACCAACCTCTTCACACGCAAACACTCTTGACAAAATTTTTCTCAGTGCAAGTTGATACCAACAATTGTAATTGTAATACAAAGTCATAATTAAAAAAATGTGTATTGCACAAAGCAATATCTGCTAAGAATAGTAAACATTAATACATATATCCATATATTTACATTTCACTTTTTTTTAAAAATCACACAAACTGTCTGAAAGTATACAAACAAAGAGTGAAAACGGAGGGCGCAAAATAGAAGCAAAAAAAAACATCATTTTTTTCACCCTAAGTACTGAAATCCTCACGTCACACACAAGCCATTTTGCTATAGATTTTACTGCTTACCTCACAAAAGAGTAAACTTCACATACCATACAATTATTTATTCACATCAAGAGCAATTCTTTCTCGCCGACAGCTCACTAATCTATCTCACATTATGCTCCTTGACTTGAAATGCCACTTGCCGTCCTGTAGATTTCTATCAAGGTAACTTGAACAATACTGATGATGTTAAAGGCTAGAAAAAAATACTGAGAAAAACAACCACACACAATAGGCCTATATTGAGATATGAGTTTTTTAAGTTAACAACAGATAGCTGCATAAACCATAGCTTTACAAAATAGTATGGTTATGTGTATAATAAGACCTGAAAATTAGAAACGTTTGTCATCAAAACCTGAAGACAGACTGCGGGGCAGCAGCACAACTGTTGTAATTGTAATTCAGGTTTTTCAAATTTTACAGGAGCAAAAAGCTGATTTTTCATCATCATGTATTATATCCATCAACAAAACCTGGAATTTCAATTCAAAGTGTATTTTCACCCAAAAAAGCATATGATTTTGAGGTTTCCCCGCATCCACTTGCCCTGGAACATGTAAAACCGTGATTTTTTTCTCTAAAACCCCGAGTTACAATATTTGAGCTGCTACCCCGTGGGATATGAACGATTACACTCTCTACTTTGTAAATAAACACTCAGATGTCATAATACTGACATGACATGACGGGTACCCAGTTACATGTATTCAGTTCATGAATCACAGAACACTTACAATAAGCAAAATAACTTCCCTAGGTAGCCAGCGTAGCGTACAATAGAGTGTTTAATATCTACTGGAAAGTATATCCGCTAAAGTAAGGCATAACAGAAATTGCCACAGTACATCTATAAGTAGTAACAAACTAATTTTTCAACATTTACTTACTGCTCTACTCAAACCCTATCCCTTTTAGGTCAAGTTCCCAAAAATGTACAAAGTGGGAAAACTATTAATAGCGGATATCACATTCTTCGCATCTTGCACTTATAAATAAAGTAAAAAAAACAAAACAAGTCCACATATAATATATAGATATTTTTTCAAGATCGCATAAGCTTAAAAGTTACTTTTATAAAACTGCCCAGAGAACAATAACTTTTGATACAAAGTATACAAAACTATGAAATATATCCATGTTTTAATTTTTCTTGTCTAGCCTGTTGCCAGGATTCAAACATCATTCACTGCCTTATGCATAAAAGCTATAATCATGAGCTTTTGTTATTTTTTAAAAAAGATATCTTTGAACAGTACTAATTGTTTATATGTAAACAAACAAGCAGAAAGCTGCAATGTCAAAACTATGGTGAAAATATGGGCATGTGAGAAAAAACATAAATAAATCCATTGGAGATGAAATATAAGTCTAAGAGTATGAGCATTATAAACAAACAGGCAGACCTGTCCTTCAAGACAAGCTGGTTTTCTATTGTTCACATAGCTCATTTTCTGTGCGCTAAGTCTCTGAAACAGCATTTACAATTTTCAAAAGAAGCGAATCAAAATAATTATGATTTTCAACTGAAAAAAAACCTCCAAAAAAACCTATGAAGCATACTTATGTGTGATGAACTGGGAGTGCTTAAAAAAAAAAATCACCTTCATCTTCCACACTGCTGCTGCAATGAAGTCGTTTGTCAACTGAAGTAAATATGAGTCTGTAGAAACCTCAAAGCAAAAAAATTTATGTAAAAAAATACGCACAAAAACTACTTGTTACATGCTTTTCATGAAAAAAACAACAACTTCCTCTGACACTCTTACTTGTCTCGTCTAAAAACGTTGAACCATGTGAAATAAAATAAGGTATTGAAGTTTGTATTCTGGTCCACCTTACTGTTTGAAGTTCAAAGAAAAAAATTACCCCTGTTACAACACTCAAAACTGTGTTTTATATGAGTTCATTATCATTGTACATGGACCGACAATACTCAGAGGTTTTTACACTTGATTTGATTACACATCAATCAACATCACCCTTATTCAGTATTTCCAGATATTTCTAAAAATTCGAGACTTTCTCACAGAACACACCAAGCAAATAGTTTCTAGCCACTACTCTTCATAAATTTGGGATTATTTTGTTTCACGAGACTGTAAATCAAAAATAAATTCCTATATTTTGTCTCCACCGAAACCAGAAACAAACCAGAAAAGAGCAATAATAATAAAATGCTCAATATGCTGCACAACCAATCTTGAGTGCAAAGAGACTGAAAAATAAACAAAAAACAAAACAAAAAACTCAAATCAAATGAATAAACTATTGGATGAAAAAGCAGAAATTTCACAAAAACTATGACCTGTCAAAAAACTACATACATTTCAAACCCTTGGATAGTTATTGTATCAGACTTCTAAAAAAAAAATTTTTTTTTTTTAAAAAGCGACTTAAATTTTGAATAAGGCAAATACAATTTACGAGCACTACGAATGCCTTGGAATTTTCCTACAATGAAGTGAGTCTTCGAAACAAGAAATATAGCAACTTGTGAAAAACAACTGCCAGGTTCAAAGTGCAGCTAAATCTGCATATTTTTTTAACTGCTATCTATATCTTACACATTAACAAACAAAATGCTCAAACCTCTGCTTCCACTCAAATTGCAAATAGGTTCTTTAGCTTACAAATTGTAATGAAGTGAATCCACTTTAATTTTTCCTGTAGACTGTTCTCAGATACAGATGTACATTTCTACCTCAAAGATATCATGATGAGAAGTAAATTTTACATGTATATATTAATAAAGAGATTTGGACTAAACTTACCTTCACAAGCTTTCTTTTAAATGAGGCCTGTGCAACATTCAATTGTCCAGTAACTCCAAATTCTAAAGACCTCGTACAGTTGTTCAAGTAGTTCTAACACTTTTAATTGAAATTGTGTAAATTCGCATCTCTCTTTTACCACACCCTCATCACAGACAAATTGCTGAGGAAGCCTTCCATCCCAAGAATATATTCACCAGTCTCTTTCACTTCCTTAATACAACAATGTCTTCAAAATCAGAATTTTAAAAAAAAAGTCATTAATGCACTATCACAGTCACCATTTAGCTACAAATAATATCTACATTTACAAAATTCACAGAAAGCCTGTCCTACATAATTCACACACGATGAATCATTGCTTGTATCAACGTAACTCAGAGGAGGCACACACAACATAACAGTTTCAAACACAATGATATCCTCAGCAAGAACAGCTTTTTGATAAGTTCAACCAATTGATGAGAATGCACCAAACACGTTTTTGTCCACTGCATCTGTCAAAGAGGCGGCTATTCATGATGAGTGGCCGTAATTATCAACTGTTGTGTGAAACTTCTGACGCAGATCTAGACAACAAGCGTTGTAAAATGTTCCGGACGGCGCTGTACACGTGGCGAGGTAGAGCACAGGGCTGTAGTTTTGTCATGACACTGCTGCAATGGGACAAATAGTCAGTAAGCCAGTTAAGGAAAATTTCCAATAAAAGAACAGCAAAAGAAATAATGAATAATAATGTTAAAAATGTCTATCTGGCAAAATAAACATAAACAAACTACAAGAGGCCTACAGAAGTAGTTTAAAGTAAAGTTGTTCCCGCATCCGATCCGGACATTGGGGATTGCCTTGTTAGTGAGACAACTTCTTGGGCCTTCAGCATATTGTGGTAGGGTGGCCAGTTCCTTTCCACGCCGCTTTTACTTCCCCAACTTGAAGTCAGGTACCCATTACTGCTGGGTGGGCAGGAGGGGGCGAAAAAAATCTGTGTCCGAACCAAGGCTCGAACCCGGACGTTCCGCTTCGGAGACAAGCACACTAACCGCTCTGCCACCGCACCCTCACAGAAGTAGTTTAACAAAGCCAAATTTAACATATGCATAAAATGCTTCATAAAAATGTATTTTTACAATCTTTCTCCAAGGTCTATGGAAGTGCATTTTAGTTATCAATATTCACCTCACTGTTTCTATACTTGACTAGTTAATTCAGACTTATCATCTTTATTTGTGTCCACCTTCCCTACTATTTAAACTCCTCATGTATGAATAATGTCATTATTCAGTACTTTCTTTTCCTTTATTTTCTCAGATACACATCCCAGAACCCTTTATCTTTTCCAAGTCTAAAGAAAAAAAAAGGCTTCATAGGCATGCACAAAGAAATTGTTTGCAATATCATTTGAAAAGGATATAATATTGACCAAGGAGGCTGGCCCCCATTTATGTACAGGACATATGAGTATCCATCTCTTGCTTTCCCCTGTATTGCGTAGTAGTATGGAAGGAAAAGATGCCGTCGAAATCTTCTGCGTTCATAGAACCTGAGAGCCACTGAATTTGTTGACAGAACATGCAGGTACACAGCTTTGCATTCCAGTCGTTCTTTTGATGTTAGATATGACAGTAAGCTGTCAAGGAGTAAGGATGCTGAAAAGAAAAAAAAGAACAAACTTCGAATAAAGAGAGAGAAGTAATGAAAAAATACGAGTACAGTTACCAACTGGAGCCCTGAGCAAACTCCCTCATTTGTGAAGCCACTGTTTTATATATATTAAAAACCTATCCTGATTGGATGAGAATCAGCATGTGGCCATTTTCCCTTTCTGCAGCTATCGCTATTGACCTAAATGCGGCCAGCTATATTTGCAATGCCCTTATCACTAATAAATGTAAAGAAGGAAGTAAAATAGATCAAATTAAATTGAAAATGTATACCTTGAACTAAAAAAAAATACCAGAACTTCAGTTCAACACAATCTGTTTAACTACACAACATTTAACAGGTAAGCATCTGACATATTGGACATTGCAAATAATATTATCTCCACATTCACATCAAAACAACTAATCACATCTCCATGACAGTAATGAACGCCCAGGCTTGATGAGTAAATGAAACTGCTTTTACCAGACTACACTTACCCATATTTCTCTGCAAAGTTTAACTAAACCATTATTCTTCAGACACAAACAAAGTAGAGGCCCTTTCAAATCAAAGATACAATGTGTGTCATGTCATCTTTTTTTTAAAATCTCCCCATATCAGGGAGCCATCAAATTGAAAACAACTATCATAGACACCATAATAAAAATTGAGACGATTTTATAGGTTAAAGGATCGGCAATGATACTAACTTTGCTAGGTAGAACCAGAAACAGAATTTGCAAGGCGTGGTGACCCTAGGGATCTAATCATAAAAAGCAAAGTCATAAATATTGGCAGAGGACTGGGCCTGCTCTGCTCTGGTATTGGTACACTAAGTATTTCACCGCCCATAGTACTTACTGTTAACTACCAAGCTTTTTTCTCAAGCTTAGGACAGTGATTTCGTGGATTTCATTGCATGAAAACGATATGATTTCGAACTTCCTGCCCCTTTCATTAGTACCCCTCTGATCTTAATCATCAAAGTCATTATAATCATAACAAGTAAATATAAATGGGACAGTGGAAAACAGCTCATTTCCCGCTACCCCTTCATTCAGAAAAAAAAACTATGAAAAAAACTATTTTACCTATCCCATTTCTACGGAAATCTCCAACCACGCCAAGACTGAGTATGTACGCCACCTGGGTGGCGGGTGGGTAGTAGCTGGCAAGCAAATCGCCATCCTGGAACAGAAAATGTGGAGGGGCAAATTTTAAAAGATAAAATCTCTGGACACATTTTGTAAGTTACTACTTACCATTTTTTAGATATTAATGTACTATTACATTTGAAAGGTTCAGTATCGCTTTTAAAACTAGCATTATTGAAGGTAACAAGCTAGCAAATATCTTATTTTGAAACACTTGTGAGGTTGAGTAAAGGAAAACTTCCAAAACTATGAGTAGAAGCAGGAATTCATTTTCATTATTGCTTGTAAAGATCTGTCACATGAGAAATCTGAACTCACAAGTCAAAACCTATTCCCCAGAGTATATAGACCCACAGAGAACCTAAATTACCTCCTTGTTGAGTTTACTTTGAGGCTTTAACTCTGCTACAATGAGGCCGATAATTCTTGCATGGTGGGTTGCAGCGAGAGAATAGAACCTGGAGTTCGAGGTAATCTCCTCATACCATGAGTCTGGATACCTGCAACATTTTGAGAGCAGTACATCATTTAGCATGACTTCAAAGGAAACACATTTCTGAGTGGCTAAAAGGCTAAAATAAAATATGAAAAATAATTGTATATGATTCATATCCACTGGAAACAGAACAAGATCTCTGGTAACTAAAATGAAAACTATTCACAGCACAAACGCAAATATTTTGTTCAAAGAATGGAGCGACATCTAACAAAAAAAGAGATTGCCATGAAGGTTGATAGTGATACAGATAGAGGCAGATATATTTCTTTATTAACATTTGTGCAGAGAACAGCAGACTTAAAGTGGCTACAATATTGAATAAAGGAATAGTTAAATTCCTTCTGATGAAGCCCATATAATGATATGGTATAACTAAAACTAATGTTAAGAAGAAAGAAGCAGAGACAGAACCTAGATATAAAATTGACTATTCATTATTGTTCAGTTCAGTATGGGCACACACGATAAATTATCTTGAAGACACCAATTAAGAATTATTGATCAAACTTTTTTAAAAAGTTAGTTCAGTAAATATTTAGGACTTGTATTAATTATGAAAAGGTTTTCATTGGCCTAACACAAAGTTCTTTATAATTATAATGACCTCTACCTTTACGCTCCCATCCCCCCAACCCCCAATCCATTCAAATATTAATGTTATCATGTCTACCTTACATGGCCATGGAAAAGCATGTCATTACTTGCAGCTCGGTAACTTACTCAATAGGGAACCATTCCCTGCACAGTTTTTTCACTTCCCCTACATCAGATGGATTGAGGAAGCGAAGCTGTACTTCTTGCTGGACACTCAGTGATAAAACAGGCTGGGCTGTCATGTCCAAAAGATAGCACTAGGCCAGACACTTCTCTTCTTCCATCTTACAAGACACTCTCGATCATGGCTTCAGTCATTAACACATGTCTAGGATTCCCTGAGGCGAACAGTATACACCTCCATCTGTGGACATAAAAAATCTAAATTACAAAAACAGCTGGGAAAATGGAATATGAACATTTCTTTCCCCCTTATTCACGCAAAATGTGCACTCCACAAATTCCTCAACAAAAAGTGGAGCACTTGTATCAGCAGTCAAAATCAAACTTTTGCTAAACAAAAGATTACACTTCTATCAAAATACACTTCAACATGGTCCAAGTCCAAGTAAGGCTTCTGAGAATGGAAAGTAGGAAAGAGTATTATTTCATGACCCGTATTTTAAGGGGGTGGAGGGCTACACCCTGAAAGTCCGGATTCGGATCAAAATTATGGCTTTTGAGCTGAAGGCATTTTTAGCTTCTTCAACATCTCTTACAACTATTTCATTGCATAAGAACCCCCTAAAGCCTTATCTTTTCACATACTTGAAATAATAGTCACCACTATTTCCTCATAAAAAGTATCTTTTTTTTCTATCGCCTGATTTCTCAAAACGCGGTTTTTCTATATACTTTTTGGAATAGTTCCACCATTTTTCAAGCAATCTTCATGAAATTTTCACAGAGAATGAAGAGATGATGTACACTAAAGATTCTTTTGTTGAATTTTCATTATAAATATAAGGAGATGATTTTAGTAGATGGCTTCTGAAGTGTGGATTTTCACTGATTTTTTTTCAGACTAGAATACTACCTCAGGAAAAAATTCATTTAACTTTTAAAAATTCATTTAGGACAAATTCAACAAACAAATTTGTAGATCTATCGTTTGCTAACATGCATGCAAAATAATACTCTTTCTATTTCCAGGAAAAATAAGTGCAGTGTATTCATTCAAAACATGTCAACAAAATCCAATATAATATTATATGACCACCGTCTCGATGGCAATGAAATTTTTTTCTCTAATTTGATTGCGGATTTTAAGACCCCTTACTATGCTTGTTGTAAGTGTGAAATTTGGTAAAATTTGATCCACTAATAAGCGAGATAGCCTTCAGGTGCACCCCCCCCACCTAAGCTGACAAACAAAGAAGCAAACAAAGAAAACACTTTCTTCAGTTAGCAACTGGGTATCTATATTTTGCATAGAGACCCAACATGGTGATGAGTAAGAGATCACATCATCCAGTGACTCTTCATGCAGTCAGCAAAAACTGATTGGTACAAAGTGAAGAGATACTGACGACTGGTGTCTACACTATTTACTGTACTGTAAGAACATCAATTAATTATAATTCTTGTAAATAAATAATGTTACCACTCGCAAACTCATTAATTGTTAGTGAACTCAGAACAATGTTCACGTTACAACAACCTACCAGGCCATTCAGTTCCTAAAAATGTAGACATCATGACATTATAGCTCTATATTTTGTTAATAAATTAAATTTACAAGTTGTAGAAATCTAGATCTAGAATCTAGGATCTAGTTGTATTACAAGTTGCAATTAAGAAATTTCTTCAGAAATGTCGAATTCTAAGTCACAGCAATACATCTAGGCTGTAGACCAAATTATTAGACCTCCTCTATTCTCACCTGGGGTGAGAATAGCGCAGGGGAGCCTGAGATAGGCCAACGAGTGCAGTGTTCACCGTGAATAAACCCTCCAGCACTCTTGTGTTGAAAGCATACAATTTTGTTTGTGGGCAGTGAGAGAGAAAGAGAGAGAGAGAGAGAGTGAGAGAGAGACAGAGAGAGAGAGAGACAGACAGAAAGAGAGAGAAAGAGAGGAATAGCGTGAGAACTTCCGGGCAAAAAAAAGGCGACCCGCGTAGTTCGGCTCGATTAGAAAAGTTTAATAGCCATAGCATCTTTGTAGACGAACAAATTAATTTACTTTTGTGTTTTAACATTATTTTTTATCTTTGTTTTAGTCAATGTTTAGTTTTTGTAAGGGTTTTACGGCACTTGCAACACAATAAGGTCATATAAGTGCCGAAGATTAGAGGTGTTACAAGAGAGTAACAAACACAAAAAAGGAGGGGAGATAGAGACGATAGACGTTTGATAGGAAAGAAGAAGCAAACCACACCAGAGCACCCGCCAACCACCCACTTAGTCAATTTGATCATCCACACCGATAGACAATATTCAGAAAGAGACACACACAGAGAGAGAGAGAGAGAGAGAGAGAGAGAGAGAGAGAGAGAGAGAGAGAGAGAGAGAGAGAGAGAGAGAGAGAGAGAGAGAGGAGTAGATCTTGTGAGAACTTCCGGGCAAAATAAAATGGCGACCCGCATAGTTCGGCTCGATTCGAAAAGTAAAGTAGCCATAGCATCTTTGTAGACGACCAAATTAGCTTACTTTTGTGCTATTCTGCTATAACGTCATTTTTTCTTTGCTTTCGTCAATAATCAATTTGATCATCCACACAGATAGACAGTACTCCGAAATTAGGAAAAACAGGTCTTGTTTCACACCGGGTGAGAATAGCCAACGCTGGCAAGTTTCACCCAGGCCAGCCCGGGGTGAGAGGTTGATCGTATTTTTATTCTCACCCGGGGTGGCCAATAATTAAGCCTAACTACTACAGTTCTGGCTCACAAATGTAGGCTACATCTGTTGCATTTTATACTATTTTATTTAAAATTTCAGAAGTTAGAGAGCTTTTGTTAGTTGTTGTGACTGTGTTATCTGAAGTCAAACAAAGCCCAAGCAATGACAACACCTTTTTTACACTGATGCTGATTCACTCACACAACTTACTGACTCACTTCTCTACCTGGCCCTAGGCGAATTCTAGCAATACACACCAGAGCGTCAAATGAGCAGCAGTACAAAGCTAGAGTTGCATATACAGACAGGACCATAAGCCAACTGTATTGAATGTGAATAGTAACATGGTGAAATGAAAGCAGAAATATTTCAGAATCTCACGTTAGACATGAGAACTCAGATCAGATGTGACCGAACTGAACGGAGTCAACTTTCATTCAACTTCAACAAGACCACTGATTTTCCAAACCTCTCCCACTCATGTAACAACTACAAAACAATACCGTCTGGATATTATCACAAAATGAAAAGAAAATGACAAAATGTACGACTTAAGATTACTGACTCTTTTGTGGAGGATAAAGAGTCAACAGGCCAAGTCAATGATCTGATTCACCAACCTTTACCTTGTCAATATTATTCCAAAGAAGCCATTATGCCAGACATTTTATGAGACAAGCAATAAATTTCCAAGACCGAGAAAAGCGGTTCCCATCAATAAAGCTTACGATATGAAATAAATTGAACAAAGAAGTTTTAAGTAAACAACATAACCTTCTACAGATCTATCAATCAGACAATACAATATCAATACATTCTTTCTTATGTTTTAAAGATGATCAGGTGTGATTGTGATAACCTACATGGCAACTTCAACAAGTGCCAATTTGAAACCGGAAGTAAACAGTGGCAAAACTTGACCTATGACCTCCTGCAACCTTTGTTATGCGGTGAAGTTTTTTGATTTTGACCATCAAATTCCTCTTCCATAAGGTGTTCCGAAAAGGAACGAAAGAACATCGAGAGAGAGAGGAGAGAGAGAGAGAGAGAGAGAGAGAGAGAGAGAGAGAGAGAGAGAGAGAGAGAG